TACTTATGGTCCTCTGGGCAGTCTAACAAAGAGCCAGCAGACTCCCGCAGCATCTTGTCTCAGTTACTGCCCACCAACCGTGACAACTTAACACCAGGAACGGAGATCCGCACGTCGGAACCGGAACTACCTTCTCTCTATTTCATTCTCAACTCCCTGATTCGTGTATACACAGTGCCGTTTTCTGTTCCTACAGGGCCATTCAATTCCAATTCTTGATAACTGAGAGATGGAACCAACCCTCACCCCCATTCCCACCTCCCAAGGCAGCTGCCACATCAGCTGGGGCTTTGTTTCCTCATCATTTATCTCCGTTGGGATTTTTCAAATTCATCTGTGGACATTTAAATGAACAGTTATGTTCTGTGTAGTATTTTGAGGTTTTTAATAACTGAAAGCTGTTTAGGTTATCTAATCCCTACCAACCAAAAAAATCAAGCCATTTAAATTGTTTTTACTGGATATAATGTTTAACATTCAATTCAATGATGAAGAAGATAATTTTAGGATTACTAAAAATGAAACCAAATTTTTCATATATGATTCAGTGAGAAATCTTTATATTAATGTCATATCCAAAATGGTTTAGCTCTTTTTAAAGTTCTTTTCAGAGGCCAAAGATGAAGAATTTGGTTTCTTTCAAAGGTCTATTATTTAATTCATGTAATTTATTAATGTATTTGAATTTATATGAATATAATTAACTCATTTATTCAACTCATTTCATCTTACATTTTCTTTTTATTGAAATACCATGTGTCATGATCTACAAGAATTCAAAAATCAGTAATTTTGCCAACTTTTCCCACTATTCTCCCATAACTAGCCTATGCCCACAAGCTGGAAGGCATTTTACGTCCTCATGTGAAACATTTTTCTGCCTCTGAACCTTTGTTTATGCTTTAAACCATCCATATACTCTTATTCCCTACTCCTCAAGTCTAACTCTCAAACCCTACCCATTCTTCAAGGTCTCTTAATATGTCTGTCATCTTCATGAAAGCACTCTTTATTCCCCAAATATGATCTCCAGTCTCTTTCTTCATAACTCTTCTGGTTTTATCATATTCTATCTTGGTTTATTGCTTCATTGCGGTTTTATATTTTGTTTTAGCTTAGAAAATAAGTGTCTCTTTTTTATTCTTATAGTCCATGAAACACTTGGAGAATTTGTAGAAAGTCAATAAATACCCATTAAAATTCAAGATAACTAAAAGCTCCTTTGCAATTCAAATTGAATGTTTTAAGTAATTATAAATAGTATCATTACTTAAATATAAACCCTGAAAGGGAAGATTTAAAAGTGCTACATGCTACATAAAAGGTGTGACAACACATGGAATAAACCTCTCTGGATTCCCACAAAAAGGGAGGTTTAGACTAGATGACTCCTCAGGTTTCTTCTACCTCTAAAATGCTAATATTCTTCTCCAACTTCAGATGCATTTTCATGAACATTTCGGTCAGGGGGCGTAGTGTTCGAATTGGCAATGAGATGGTCACCTGATGAGGGCCAGGAATGCATGTTCCCCAAGAAATTGGATGCTTTAGGAGTATAGCTAGGGTGGGGTGCACCTGGATGCTTCTTCCTTTCATGCATTGCTGGAAGCCATGTAGAAGCAGCAAATAAAAGACAAAGAGAAAATACCAGAAACAGGAAGAGAAACTCTTTCCTCCTACAATGTCTCTCCACTGCCCTCTATTGTCTTAGCTTAACACTGTGCCTGTTGAAAGTAAGAAATGATTATAGGATCCAGCTTCTTCATTGCAGAGCAGGCAATGCAGGATGGATTTGAAGCTGAGAGGCAATAAACTGATAACTAGCACAACAGGGAATATAAATTTCATTGCATACATATTATCCTCAATTTAGGAGCAGATTTCCTAACACTTAAAAGGTGGAATGGTCATGTTATGATATGAGGAGGTAAACCTGGATTTAAAAATTGTATAATTCTTTCAAACACCAGAGTAGTAGTTAATAAACTACAATTTCAGTGTATTAAATTATAGTGAAACAGCTCAATGCATTACATGATTTTAACTTATTCTATAATTTTACAAATGAAGAATATATTTCGCTTTTCCAAATCTGTTCCAGTTTGATATCAAAGTCTATTTGTAATAAATACCACGAACTACTCATTGGGAAAAAGACAGACATGTGCCTTAAAATGAAACAGCATCTAGTGGTTGGTATATTAAATTATAATGAATCTTTGACTCTAACCCCTAGGAACTTACTTGAATAAACAGACAGTGTGATAGCACTAAAATATCATGTTCCTCCACAACACTGTAAATCAACTGTACTTCAATTTTTTAAAAAAATCATGTTCCTCAATTAACAGAATAAAGATCTGTTCTCCACTATGATTTCCTTGGATCGCATCATTCCTTTATTTACATTTTTTTCTATTATATTTAATAAATATAAAAATCCCTTGTACAACTTGGGTAGTATGCCATAGTGGTTAAAAAGCATGGGCTTTAAAAATAGACTGAGTAGGTTTGAATCCTGGCTCTCATACTTGTGCGACTCTGGGCAACTTGCTTAACTTTCTCAGTTTTGTCATTTCTAAAATGGGGACACAGTACCTGCCTCATAGGGTTTTTGTGTGTATTACATGAGCTAATACAAGTAAAGTGCTTAGGACTTTGCCAAGAGCATAACAGGTGACAAAAGTTTGCTATTGTTGTTTTTCCTACTACTACCTATCCTTGAGAACAACTGTCAAGCACTCTTCATTGATTATGTGACTGATTATGTTAAGAAGAAACAACTAATTTTCCCTAAAACTCTATTACCACATCAGAGAATAGAGGGATGAATCTAAAATGAACTCTCTCTCCCCTTAGAATTCAGGACCATTTGACTATTTCTTCAGAATAGGATCAAATGTATTGTTTGTACTTGTCCTAACACCTTGTCACATAAGTCATGACTGATTTATCCCTATCACTTAAGCTTTCAATTATCATTATGAAACCTGTTTTTACGTTTACATTTATGTATTTCCTCACCCCAAATCACCCAACTGATCCTCAGAAAAAAATCTGTTAAGCTCTAAGGATAAAATTCCTCAGACTTCTGATTTTAAAGCTTGTTAAATTTCCTGTTTCAAGCCATGGATATCAATGCTAAAGAAGTTACTGATATAAAGTTACTTTAAAGAATAATCTGGTCCTGAGAATGTGCAGTTGAGCAGACTGAACATTTTTTTCCTGCCAGCCTTAATACATTCATGTATCTAGTAGCTCAATTCATAATCATTTAATAAAGTGAACATTTGTAGCCTTAAATATTAAGAAAGAAACAGGCTATTAAAAGTTAAAACCCTACTTCTATTTAGCTATGTTTAAAAAAAAAATTCCCAGGAATATTGTAATGATCTAGGTTTAGGAGCAAGCATTGTGCAAGTTAATGTAAGTAATGAACCTTTCATGTGAAATGATGTAGTGTCACAACTCATTTGCATCCCACTTATAAAGTGTAATTAAGTTTCTCTGACAGCATGGCTTATGGCTGAAAGAACAGACCTGGTTGCTAAATTAGTCCAGAGTCCCTCAGTTAATAACCCTCACAAAGAAAACTTCACACTCTTTCATTTAAAGTTCCCAAACTCCCATTTACAGAAGTGTATGACAAGGCAGCCCTACAGAGAAACCTTTGTATAAAATTGATGGCCTCTCACCAGATTTAATCATCAAAACACCTGAAAACTGGACTTTGATGAATCAAGAACTGAGAATATGCTATTTTCACTCCAGCTAGGAAGGCTGGTGGTCTGGAGGGGGAGGTTTCACACTTGAATTTCACTGCACTATATATTTAAACTATAGTATGTTTTCAAACTGAAGTATGAAGTGTTGGGAATTTTGAGATTTATAACAGAACTGGCTTACCATAATAAGAGTTCAGAAATAATGGAATTTGTTTTTTCATTCATTCTTTCAGGACTTGAGTACTTCATATAAGTTTCCAAGTGAAGTTGCTATTCATTAAATTCTCTTGAGTTTTTGTTTATTTGCTATTGTCATCGTTTGTTTTGTTAAGGATATTCACTTTTGCAATCCCCAGAACTGAATGTGATGTTGCCACAAGATTAGAACTACAGAGTGTTATTTAGAACAAGTTTTAACTAAACAAGGATTTAACTTATAAGTAATCTAAACTGTTTTCAGAGAGGCAAACAAAAGGACAGGCAAATTTCTCAGGATCAGATTCCACTTCACTCCAGGGCAACACAAGAATCCTTGGCCAGCATTTATGCTATTTTCCTCCTCTTCTTTTCCATGCCACCCAAATTCAAAGGCTGATAAGGAAAAGAAACAGTCTATCTTTAAGCTGAAGGTCTCAAAATCAACTATTGGTAGATAAATAAATAAATATATTAATATATATATATAAATAAATATATATTATATATAAACATATATACAAATAAATATAATTATTGCTATATAAATAAATTGGTTCCTCAGAGAGTCAGTGAAAGTGTTGGTAGCTGGACAAAGAAGACTAGATATACCTTTAACATACAAAACATTCCTGAATCCAAGTGCCCAATAATTTAATAATGTAATGATTAATGGACTTACTCTAGTTCACTCAATCAATATTGCTCAGAGTATTTTAGGTTAACACTTATTCTGACAGATGACCTGCAATGCTACCCCTACAAGAAAATTGTCATATTTAGAAATTAAATAATGTATTAAAGTGTAACATTGATTAGAAGCTATAATATTCACCTCCATGTTTTCAAAGCACTGAAATGTCCTTAGGGCAAAATTTACAGCTGTTCATTTTTCTACTTCAGGTCTCAGCACTATGCAATGTATCACTGGAATTTTAACAGAAACATCTCATGTTCTTTCTTGATTTTCCAAAGATCTATTTCAGGGAAAAGAAAACTTGCCAGAAAGGATGAGTTGATGGGAAAGAAGCACCCTAACAATTATTTTCTCTTATCGTTTATTTAAAAAAAAAAAACATTATTAGTAAAAGATACGGCAGAAGAGTCATGTTCAATTAGATGATTTATTTCTAGCGTGTTGTTGGAACATTTACAGCGGTAGCAGACAATGATTTTACTTCAGCTGTCCAACTGAGGCCAAAAGGTGGTGGTACATGGAGTTCTATTTGTTAAGTGCTTTTCGTTACGAGCTATAACCTGTGTTGTCAGAAGGTAAAGGATCACAGCAAAGCTCCTTCCACAGCTCTGAGTCTGGCTTCTCCCAGTTGTTTCCCATAATCCACTTCAAGTTGGAAGGTTTGAAATACTCGAGGCGATGGCTTCAGGTCACATAGAAAAAAATTCAAATTTTAAGTATTCAACACACAGCCATGGTTTTATTTATTCATTAAATAAAATTTAAAAGAAAAACATATCCATGCTTTAATTACTTTAAACATTGCTCATTAACGTATCTATTATTTTATTTTAAAATGATATTTATAATAACATATTACATCTTTTTTTACATACATGTATAATTTTTCTTATGTATACAAGTACAGAACTTGCCACAATATTCATTGAGGAGTGAGAAACCATTATTTCTATGCTAATTAATGATTATATATACATATACTTTTTTCTTAATTCAAATCTCACTGAAAAAAGTTTATATGAGCAGTTTGTTGAATTCACATTTTAAGACATGTGAAGATGGTATGAATCCAAGGTTCGCCATGCAATAATAAAGGTATCCTCTCATGTCTTATTGGTAGTTTCTGTGAGTCCCCGATTACTACGAAATATGCTCAACTCACACAGAAATACTGTATACTAATTAAGTACTTTCAGTCATACAACACTCCTCTAAAATGAGCTTTACCTATGTATTATCAAAGTATGCAAGCTTTTACTACCAGCGGCAATGTTACTACTATCATTCATAAAAGCAAACAGAAATCGTACAGTCCTGTACAGTGCCTAGTACAGCCTGAAGGAAGCTGATTCAAGGTGACTGCTATGTAGATTCATTTCCAATTATGTAGGAGTTGATGCAAAATGACAGAGTTGTTAAAGTGTAAAAAGTAGGTCAAACAAAAATGCTGAAAATAATTCACCTGTGCTATACATAAAGAATACAAAAAACTATATAAGTATACATGTTACACATACTTAGATATTTATAATTTTACATGTATTTTTTTAACTTTTTTATTTTATATTGGAGTATAGTTGATTAACAATGTTATGTGTAGTTTGAGTGTAGTTGATTAACAATGTTATGTGTAGTTTTTTTAAATTTTAGGCACTGTGAAAAAAATGATGAATGCTTACATTATCTTCCCCTCAAAATGCGTAGCATCTGAAATGAACAGGTATCAAAACAAAAATCTCAAATATTTATAAAATGTAATACATAGGGAATATTTGCAAAAAGAACCATGTTTGGATTTGGGGTTGGAGTTAGGGAGGGCTGAGAAATACACAAGAAAGGTTACTTGGTAGATTTAATTCTACATTTTAGAAAGCTTAATTTACAATTGTTCCTTGGCATTTTCAATTCCAATTAGCTCTTAAAATATAAACCAGAAAATATTTTAAAATAAATTTGGTAAAAATCTCACTATTTGTGAATAGAGCTACTTATTCTAATTATCAGAAATGCAATGAAAATCTTTCTGGGATATAAAAAAATGTAAGGAGTTGTTGTTAAAGCTCTTATCTCCCTCTCACAACTCACTGTAGGTAAAGCCTGAAAGTAAATATATAGTCAAATTATTTGCATACTTACAAGTTAGGCCTTGTCCATCTTCCATCTCTTCATGTGGCATTGAATAGAGGGCTTCATAAATTCTTCTAATCCCTGATCCATGAATTGCATATGAATTCATTTTATCAATACCACGTGGAAAATATTCCCAAGGAAGAAATATAATCCCACTCCACTGGTTCCAGGTAGTGTTGAGTTTAAATTGTGAACTTGGCTCTTACTTTCATAGTTAGGAGGAAATAATCAAAACAGCAATAATTTTCAACTGGCAGATTTAATGCATTAAACAAATAGAACCAAAGTTTAAATTAGACAAAAATGATATAATTGCTTTGTAAGGCAAGCTTGTCAGTCATGGTTCCTAAGTTGAAGACCCATTAGTAATGCCATTGAGTATTCACCCCATTCACAGTTTTATTATTTATAAAAAGTTGAAAGTATTTATGGTCTTCTATAAAACATATAAAATGTCAGATTCAATTTGTAGAAACAGCTAATTTTTATAAGGGCATAATGATACTGCTGACCTAAACACTGGTTCTTCATGCTTGGAGCTCTAAGGAAAAGCAACGGAAACTGCTTTGTTTGCTCATTAGCCCTAAATTTATTGTAGTTGTTAATATCTATGCTGATCCCTGGCAGGCAAACCCAGACTATGGAGACCTGTTAAGCAGTCACCTTAGCCCAAGGAACCTGACCTGAATCACAGAGACAAGTTCTAATGGAATTCATATGCCCCTACCTGCTCGAGTTAATTATTTCATTCTTTGTCACCATTTCAGAAGCTGATCATATTTATTATATTGGTCACGTTCACTCATTCATCAACAACTATTTTATCAGTTTTGTAAGTAAGTTTTTAGAAATTTTTTGCTGACATCAATTTTTACCTTTCTAAATGGTTCATCTCATTAATGCTTATTAATATAAGGCATAAAAGGGATAGGTTTTGGAAACAATCCATGTCCCAGATAGAGAATACTGGATTCCTTTTTTTACTTAGATTATCTCCCCGTAGACTTCCTTCCCTGTTCCCAGACAGATCCTGTCAACCCTAATGAAGAATCTAATATCAACTGAAGTTGGCCAGAATCACTGACAATCCCATTCTAAAAATTACCCATTTGGAAAAAGTGCTGGTCAAGAGCCAAATTACCCTCTCTGCTCTCCCTCAGAGACTGAGAAAACTCAATTTTTAAAAACTGTTCGGAGAACTGCTGTAACAGTGTTGTCCACAGGACAACTGACAACCTCTGTGAAGAGACTAAGCCAAAATCTATGATAATCTATGATAAACATATTCCACTGATCACAGTCATTTCCCTTGACAGTCTACTCTGCATCTAGAGAAGAAAGTATGTGAGGAATTTTATCCAGGGATGCTCGGGAACTAGCTCTACTGTAACTCCATAGAGCTGCCAATAGTTGTCTCCCTTTTAGAATTTTTTTTTTTTTTAAGAGCACTATAAAAATAAAGGGTCCATTGTCAAATTAATGGAATACAATATACTATTCTGCGGCCAGGACGAACTTGAGTAACTTGCTTGACCTACTTTCAAAACAGAAATTCCTAAGATTTCTCCATTATGACTATAATTTCTTGATTCATTTTAACATGCTAAGTGTATCATACGGATGCCATTTTTCCAAAAGGCATTTTCGAAAAAAGATATTTTTATAAAGATCTGAGCCCACTGAGCTTCAACAAATGTTAGGATCTAAATAGAACACCATTATCTTCTCCTCATTCCACTTGCTTCTATATCAAGAAACTTAAATCAATTCCTGACTTTATCAAGCTCTGGACTGTCATTCAATGAGTATTTATTAAATGCCTGCCATGTGACAGACACTTTTCAAGGAACTGGGCATACTGGGTCAACAAAACAAAGTCCTTGCCCTCACAGAGCTGATATTCTAGCTACATGCATAAAAGCGACTCTTGAGTAACAGCAGACACCTAAGGCAATCATCTTAAATCCCTTTACCATTTACCAAGAGAAGAACAGGATGCCGTTTTTGATTTGCTGAAAGCCCTGCAGAAAAACTGATTTATGTTTAGAACCCAGACTATAGCAGTAAATCATTATCCAGCTGAATAACCTTTTTATTTACCATCTGCTATTCCCTTCTGCTTGAGAAGAGTACAATTCTAAGAGGTCAAAGAGGATGCCCACCTTCTACACCAACATGTTCCCATTGTCTAGCACACTTAACATTTGTGGAATGACTAATGAGCATTAGGCCAAGTAATATATGAATAAATGAGTATATTCAAAGGGAACTGTATGACTGTGGTTGATTTAACATCCTTAATTATTCACAGTATCATCTTTCTTGCTTCTCAAAGTGACTCTGTCAAAGTGACCTTCCTGTTATATTAGGCAGCAGGCAAGATCCTAAGAAAAACTGTAAACGTGCTTGTCATAGATTGAAGTAGCTATTTCTGTGCTCTTCGCCCACCCCCAGCCCTTCCCTTCCTCTACCTCCCAACATTTGGATATTCTGCTGCTAATTTCTTTAAATTCTGCTCTAAGTGGTGAAGCAAAAGATTCCATATAGTAGCTGCAAGAGGGAACCAATGTGCCATTTATGTGTTACCACAAAAGAGAGCTCCCTTGACTCCCCAACTGCAGCATCATCAGCCTTCCACCTACCCTCTCAAACCCTACTTGTTTTTCCTGCTGAACTGCTCATGGTTTATTATTTTTTTAATTGGAAAAATTTAAACCTGATTCAGGAGCCACATTAAAATCTGGTCCTCAAAATATTGCAGGACAATCTCTTCAAGGTTTATGGTGACTATTTCTGCAATGTCGCAGAAGGGCTTGTTTAAGCATTTGAGTAGAAACAGAGAAGCTTGTTTGAGAAAAGCTTTGCCTCTCACTGAGGCATTCCTGCACAGTTTCTTTGTAACTAGGATAGATTTTCATTCCAGCAAGAAAATAAGTGAAGCTCTTCAACATTCTTCCTGAAACACCATCTTGGCCATCAACTTTGCCTGATTAAGATTACAATAGAGAATTTCCTGGTGGTCCAGTGGTTAGGACTCTGTGCTTCAACTGCCAGGGTTTGATCCCTGGTCAGGGAACTAAGATCTCACAAGCCGTGTAGCGTGGCCAAAAAAAAAAAAAAGATTACAATAGTCTTCTATCAATTAGCAACACATAATAGAAGGCATCATCATAGTGTACTAGCTGTTGCTTCCCACTGAATTTTCTGTCACATAGTTCTTATTACAGACCTAGCCAAGATCATTTATATTTGAGAGGAATTGATTAAAGTGGTCATTTTTAAAAAATTGCGTGATTGTAAGGTATTTAGAAAAATACAAATTCCTAGGAGCCATTCAAGATCTCCTAAATCTGAATATTAAGAGAAGATCCAATGCCTAGAACAGTGCCTTGCACACAGGAGATGCACACTAAGTATCAGTTAAAAGAATAATGTATGAGCTATTAAGTCCCACACTGCAGTGTTTCATTCCCTGAAGATAGATAGTTCATTCTGTGGACAGAATCATTAGGATTTTCCCCACCTGAACTCTTTGCTAGTCAAGACTTCCCCTGGAATGCGAGGTCCTTGAAGGAAGGAGCTCTGACCGTCTTTTTCACACATATAACCCCAGCCACATGAACAACACCCTGTATGTGGTAAATGCTCACAAAATATTTGTTGAATAAATGAATCAGCCGGTGAATCCCCATATTTATCAAGCCCCATACATAATGCCAAGGGTGTTCAATCAGAGTAGAACTCATAATACTAAATACAGGTAAACCTGAGCCAGAAAAGTTGAAAGCTGACATTGATGACTTCAACGCAGTTTAATAGCCTATTTTCTTTCTTCAAATAGTAATATTTACTATTTGGGAAGGATTGTAATGGCTCTCACATAAAGACCAAATTCTTCTTATTTAAACCTGTATAATAATGCCCCATAAAATTGTATACCTCCAGCTAAAAATGTGAAATGTATTAGTTTATTAACATTGTAGCAGATTTTGCAGGTGGCACTGGTGTATCAATGAACTTCTAACCTAAAGAACCATCCTCAAAGAAAAGGTATAGTTTCTAACATAGGAGAAAAATGTTTTTCTTCCTTTCGGAGCTAAGGAGGTTCTTCCTTTCGGAGCTAAGACTCCCAGTGTAGTAGCATGGCTTGGTGTTGTTTGTTGTTTTGTTTTGCTCTGCTTTTTATTTTTTTATTCCAAAACAGAAGCAGAGATATTTAAAGTAGATATAAAGAAAACATATACCAAAAAAAATTTGGAGAAAACTTGTTTTTAAGAAATCCAATCAATATTAACTAAATTAACAAAACATTTTGAAAAAGTAGATACATGTCACTGGAGCAAAAGCTCCAAGAGAGCAGAGACTACATGTTATTTGACTTTGTATCCTCTGCCCCTAACACAGAGCCAGGCCCACAAAAGGTATTCAGTGAAAGTCTGGTAAATGAATGAATGAAACAATGAATGAATGAATTCATTTCTGCCTAACAAATATATTCAAATAACTAACTTTGTCTTCATTAATCAAAGCCATTTTTTAACATACCACTTTCAGTAGCAATTTTCTTGATCCTCAAGTGCACATACCTTTTTCCACATATTCAGACAAAATTGTGCTCCAATTTTCAGTGTTGATTATGCTAGATACTACAGAGCCAAACCATTTTAAGAATTCAGCAAAACATTTAACTCTATTTGACACATAAATAGACAGCAGTGTTAAATCTGTCACTTTGTTTCAGTTACCACTACAACTGTTGATGGGATTTTAATCCGGTTAGCATCTACTTAACAAACAATATACTCACAGTTCTCAGTTTTCATTTTTCCACTTTTACAAAGTAGAAAGTTAAATGGTAAAATTAATAGAGCTGTAAAAAATATAGTACCAGATTTATTTTAATGACAGTGTGAGTGTCACTGATTTAGAACAGCTGCTCTCTAAATAAACAGACTCAGGGCCTAATAACTGTACAGAAAAAGGTCTAATTGCTGGGGCCTGAAGACCTGTTGGCAGGTCACTGCCCAGTTAGGATTACTGGTCTCAGTGGCAGTTTCCCCATAGCTCAAAAAACTGCCCAGCTGCTTTTGTATGCAGAGGTTCCTAGATCGAATTCTTACTGGAACAGATTCCTCACAAACAAGGATAATCCTTTATTTGAGGTTTAGTCACTTGAATTCCTCTCTGTACTCTTCACTGTCAGGCTTTGCAATTGTTATTTATCCTTGGTAGAATGCGCTTACTATTGTAGTTATGGCACTTTTCACTCTAAGCCCCTCTTTTCAGCATCTTCAAGAGAGAAAGGTCTTTAGCTAGAAGTTTCTCATGCTTGCTGACAGTCTGGAAATGATTTATTTTAGAAGAGAATAGAGGTGAAAGGAGTAGAAGGAAAGATCATTATTCCACCATCTTTGAGAACCTATCAGTTAATCACTGGTTTATTGCTAAATGAAATGTGATGGCTTTCAAGATTCAATTTTATTGCTTTTATCTTTAAGAAGTAACACTAAAATATTTTACAGTCTCATAAGTAGAGTAAATCCAACAGGCTAAAAAGATTCCCTGTGGCTAAATTAATTTTAATTTATTCTCTCTCATATTAGGTAAAGTGGATTACTGCAACACTAGACAATGAAAAAATGCTTTAATCTTATACATATTTATAAACACATTTACAAATATATTTTTAATGTATGGATCTACAGATAAAAAATATTTATTTTGTGGGTATGCTTTCAGATGTTTTCAAGACTAGCTTCTTCCACACACATGAAAGAGTCCATAGTAATCAGAACTGTCACTCTTTAAAACCTCTACTTAATTTCCTGATATTTTAATCCATTGATTTCCAAAGCTTTTTCTCCACGAGAATTATTGCATATATACCTAGAACTAAATTATAAAACGGTTACTGAAAGAATTATTTAACAGTATTTCAAAATATATCAAACTCACTCTGGGCTTTCTGATTTTGCTACATAGAAATAAAATATTTACTTCTTTATTTCTTTAATTTCTTTAGAGAATAGCAAGATTCAAGGCCATCTGTTGCTTTTGTCTCTTCTTTTTCTAATAAAAGAGTTTCTTTGAAGTAAATTATTGCCAATTACACGTTCATCCAGGGAGAATAGAAAAAATAGTGAGTGGATTTGCTCAAAAGACTATTCCAACTTCACAAGTGTGAAGTCTTCAATATAGACTATTTAAAGAGTAGAGACTAGAGTGGAAAATACACAGAGACTAAAACTAAATACTATAACTACTAAGAATTTAAAGGAACCTTGTCATTATCTTTTTAATTAGATGCAAAAGCAAGCTGTTTATGAAAGTTAAGACCCCTATACTTATGTCTGATTTCTTATGCTAACGTTGAAGACTCTACAATGAAAACTCACTGAAATACTGAGTCCACATACAGGTAATAACTTCTCAAAACCAAGCTTATATATCAGAAACAGAAATCGAAGGAAAGTATACATAAAAATATAAAGTTATAAATCATGTTTATTATTATATTTTTATTATCTGAGCTCTAGAACTGGATTTTGTCTCATCTTCGTAATTCCAAAATGTAAAATTAAAATAAATAACCTGTGTTTTTTCCTCTAAGAATGTTTGACTCAGGGTAAGACTAACAGTAAGCCATTACTAAATTTAAATTCCCCTTTCTCCTCTTAGGGCAGGATCAATAAGTTAGAAGTAAGCTGGACATGAATATTGTACATCAGGAAGTTCCCCCAAAGAAGACACTATATCCAGGATAGAACTCAACATGTTATATAAACAGTGCACTGGAGCCAGCCTCACCTGAACTGGAGTTGTCTTAGCTATTGTCCAGAAAGCATAAGCAGGAACATAAGGAAAGATTCTCTTTTTTCCTCCATATTCAGAATAACACATTGGTATCACCTTCCTGGGTACAGGGGACAAGCGTAAGTGACTGTTGCCTAACTTCCCAACGTTGAAAACAATTATGCTCACTTGAAAAATCCTTTTTCAGCAGAAAAGTATCACTTCTCACAAATTCTTAAATGGAATACAATTTTATGTCCAATCAAACATTATTATTACTACGTATGAACCACAGTAGGACGATCTGGCAGGTATATTATTTGGGGCACAAATCCCAACCTGTGTTTAAAAAAAAAAAGCATTACATACAATGCTCAGTTAGATGTTAGCCAGGGTTCAAAACGAAAATGTATGCACGAGCCATTCAGAGCTCACAAATAAATAAAAATGCAAAGGTCAGCAATGGTCTTTCTTCCTCACTGTTACTAAGCCTTCGAAATAAGCTCAGGAAATGTATGCAGGTGGTTTTTTGATTAATTTGATAGAGGTACAACCATGGAACAAATTTACAAGTGATTTGCAGGCAGGCTGGCATTACTGAAATGAACGGTGCTATTACTATGATTTATGCTACTATTCCTAACACAAATGATAAAGTGAAATTTACAGTCCTTAATTACCACCATGAAAAATTGGGAGGGAGAAAAAAGAGCAAAGATTGGTCATTTGCAAACTTGTCAGTAAGGCAAGATGCAAAAATCCATTTGCTTTACTTAAAAATAAAAGATACTGCATAAATGGGCATTGCTATATTGTTATCAACCCATTGGAGAAGGGAAGGGAGTTAAAAAAAAAAAACAAATGACCAAAATGTAACCCTGAGATGCCAGGTAGTGTGGTTCAGGAAAACAGCTGACAAAATGTGGCCTCTATTTATTAAAAGCAGGAAGGCGACAAAATACAACACTACACTATACTTTATTTGGGCCAATCACAAAGGCCCAGCTTGCTCTTCAAATCACTTCCTTTCAAATGTTCTATAGTGGGAAAAAAAAAGAAAATTAAAGAAATCATATCTGTAATTTTTAACTAAATGTTTTTCTCTTGTCCTATTCATATCCAAATAGCACTGAGAATCTGTTAGGATATTCAGAGATGTTTACACAGACATTGCTATTCACAGAACTCTAACAAAGCTTTGCAGAGGAACCTGTTCTGAGACGCATGGCTCAAGCACTGCATTTGTCAAGGGGTTGGAGATTATGTGAATGCCTAGTTTCCTGGGCCCATGGCCCTTTGCTCTCTCCATCTTCCATAACTTCCTACTTTACGGTCCAGCCAGGCTTTATTTCCAATACTCATTCCCTCACATGACTAATCTACTATCAGGGAATGCCTAGGGTTCTAATGGACCTTCTAATCACTATTTGTTACGTTTGGTTCAATATATAGTAATTCCATTCAGTGGTCATTCACACTACTTCACAGACCGCTGCATAGCAAAACTCCGCAAAGTTACAAGGCATGGCAACTGGTTGTATATAACAGGCAAGAGAGATGGAACAATCAAAGATGGCAGAAGTTTCTTGTCTGCCTGATTTAGAAAATAATGGTGCAACTTTAGATAGAGGTGCACAACCAAGACCTGGAAACTGATAAGTTAGTTTCAGTAATGTTAAGTCTGAGTTGCTGTCAGGATACCCAGATGCAGATACGCAGTAAACATTACTAGGAATGTAGGACTGATGCTCTGGAGAAAACTTTAGCCCAGTTATATAGATGTTTGAGAAATCTGAACAGAAATTAAGGTTGAAGGCATGGAAGAGGATCAGATGGTCACAGTGGGGATGTAAAAACAAGAGACCTAACAGCAGAAACAAAGAGAAGACATATTTGGAGGGCTGGAATTAAAGAAAATAATGAGATCAGAAAGGACTAATCAGAGAATAGGAGGACTCTGAAAAGAATCTCAAGAAGAAAGAAATGATCATCAATGTCACATGCTGCATAGAAATCAGGAAGAATGAGAAAATTCCATTAAATCTGTTGACCAAGATAACTTCAACACACAAAAACCAAAATACAAGATTCTGAGAAATAAACACACATAAGAAAAAGGAGCTGCAAGTGTAGAGTTTTCCTATTAGAAATCAAACAAGAAAAGATTTAAGAGAACACTATGGAGATGAATTAGGGGAAAGTGCTTTATATAGTAGATATAAAGCATACATGTGTCTTATCAATTTCTGATTTCCTGCCACTTCTTAAAAATTTCTTCTTTCATCACTGGGATATTATAGTGTATGGAAAAAGCCTTCAGATAGGTCTTTTATGGAGTTTATCCTTTTTGTATGTAGGACCTCAGTGATCATGATGGACTATTTTCCTTGCCTTGTTCCCAGAAAGCCTAAAAACATGTGTGCATTCTACAACCAAGTACTTTCTCCATTTCTACTTCCTATCAACTCAGGCTTCCTTCCCACTCCATAAATCTTTTTTTAAAGCACCATTTTCTCCATTTCCATAACCTTCCTCCTGAGATTTTAAATTATAATAAAATTTTCACATCTTCTCTAATAACCTCCTTACTTCAAATTCATAAATTTCACACTTTTCCCTCAGGAATTTTCCATACCTCCATTCATCTTTATTTGGATAGTATCTCTTTTTCAAAAGTATTTGCTAAGTTATATTTTCATCACCATACTTGAAATGCAACACATGGAATTTGCAATGCTCTGCTTCTTCTAATTTATATTTCTTTTAACATTTTCATCAACAGTTAATATTAACTACAATTTGAAGGCTTATTCTATGCACTAAACTTTTAATATACTGCCTGACATTCATTGTCTCATTTCATCATCTCTAAAAACCTTTGAAGTGATTGTTTTTATTCTCTCCAATTCACAGATAAAGGAAACTGAGTGTCAGAAAGGTTAGGTCACTCATCCAAAGTCACACAGCAACTAAGCAACAGAGCTGGCTCGGAGTTTGTACCCATGTCCATTTGACTCCAATGTTCATCACTTACCTTGCAGAAAATTCTATCTCAATCCTTTTAGTCTTACTTTATAAGAATATCAATTGTCAATTAATGTATTTTCATTATTGGAACATTGCACAAGACAATTAAATTCTCATTAGTGAAAGCAGGCCTCTATCAATTCTGGTTCATTCTAACTCAAAATACTCAAAAGGACAGATTTCAAGAATTGTTTTGTTCCTTCTTCTATCCTCTCTTCACACTTTATCAAGCAGTATCCTGTCTTGCAAGAGACCCAAGTTGTTTTAATGGGTCTTTCCCTCGGTCACTCTCCCTTGTTTTTTCCTCTATCTTAATTACTCTGAATTCTTTATTGGTAGATAGCATAAATGTGCATAAGACCACCAAAATTTCAAATTACCCTTAATTTTCATTAATATTATGATACCCACATCTTCTAGAGTTGATTTTAGTATATTCTTTTTTGTCAGATATAATATATATCATGTATCTATAACACAAGTATATAAACACACAGTTTAATGGTATTAAATTAGCAGTATATATATTAGGTAGCTTTATGTTATGTAGCTTAGTGTGCATATGTTAAATTTTTATTTTTATCATATTTTATATATTTATATGCACATATATATGTAATTTAATGGTATTAAACCAGCATATTTTATATTAAGTCGTTCTCAAACAATACATAGATCGGTTTTTTAAAACATTCCTTTCATAACTTTTCTCTCCTTTCTACTTTCACAATTGGAATGCTAGCTATATTCATGTCTTCTCAAGCACATTAAGGATCAAAAAGCACAACTACATTTAAAACAAAAGAGGGGACGTTCCTGGTGGCGCAGTGGTTAAGAATCCGCCTGCCAGTGCAGGGGACATGGATTCCGTCCCTAGTCCGGGAAGATCCCACATGCCACGCAGCAACTAAGCCCGTGTGCCACAACTATTGAGCCTGCACTCTAGAGCCTGTGAGCCACAACTACTGAGCCCTCATGCCACAACTACTGAAGCCCATGCACCTAGAGCCCTGCTCCACAACAAGAGAAGCCACAGTAATGAGAAGCCCATGCACTGCAACAAAGAGTAGCCCCTGCTCGCCGCAACTAGAGAAAACCCATGCGCAGCAAGGAAGACCTAAGGCAGCCAAAAATAAACAAATTAATTTAAAAAAAAGAGTTCTAGAGCCAGAGTGGGTTTGAATGTCACTCTGCCACTTATTAAAAAATAATAAAAAGAAAAGAAAAGAGAAGATGTCATACCTCTATGTGATACTTTTTCTAGAACTTCACTGTTCAATACTGTAGCCATTAGCCACACCTGGCAATTTAAACTTAAATTTGAATTAATTAAAATTAAATAAAGTTAAAATTTAGTTTCTCAGTTGCAATAGCCACATTTCGTGTGGCTAGTGACTACCATTTGGGGTAGAGCATACACAGCACATTTTCCAACATCACAGAAATTTCTATTGGACAGTGCTGATCTAAGAATATTCAACAGATAAGTCAATCTTTAGTATGTCTTGCTATTTCACTTAAGATTATTCCCCGCCATGAATGAATAAAGAAAATGTAGTATATACATACAGTGAAATACTATTCGGACTTTTAAAAAGAAGGAAATTCTGCAATATGTTACAACATGGATGAATCTTGAGGACATTATGCTAAGTGAAATAATAAGCCAGTCACAGAAAGACAAACGTAGTATGATTCCATTTACATGAAGTGTCTAAAATAGTCAACTTCATAGAATCAAAGAGTAAAATCCAGGGGCGGGAGGAACGTGAAATGGCGAATTACTAATCAATAAGCATAAAGTTTTGGTTTAGCAAAATGAATAAGCTCTAGGGGTCTGCAGTACAACACTGTACCTACAGTCAACAATAACATATTATACACTCAAAAATTTAAGAAGGTAGATCTCATGTTTTTTGTTCTTACCACAATAAAATAATATTTAAAAAAAACATAGGACTATATCTGGGCATGGTTCTGAGGGAAACAAATGACCAATAACAAATTATTCTCTTACCATTAAAAATAAATTATCTTCTTTCCTACCTTTTACTTTTTTTAATTGCTAACCCTTAGTCTTTATAAATTTTTCTACTCACTACCACTTTTAAATAACAGTCTTGGAAATATTTTACAATGTAAGATCAATAATGCAAATGTTCTCCAATTCAAAAAAGTCTTCCATGACTTTTTCTTAAATAAAATAGCCAAGAGATCTTGAACCACTTTTTATTTCCCCTTGCTCCAAAATTTAAATAACAAAACAAAGTAAAACAAGCCATCCTAATAGAGTGAGCAATTCTTTGTAAACTCCAGTGATAAGGCCACTGTCCATACAGTGGGTATGGTCCTTTGCTAAGAATTTTGTTTCTAGAGCTGGAAGAGAACTCCTCAATAGCGTGTTACACTTTTTATAGACAGGTCATTATTTCAGCTCCTAAGTCCTATATTTCTACCACTGTCAGCAATTTTACAACAGACTTCTGGTTTTTTCCTTGCTTCCCCATTTTCTGAGATGTTTCAAACCAAAAGAATACACATGTGAAAAGCTGTCATGACAAAAGTTAGGGTTGTAATCTACATTCATGGACCACACAGAGAATAACTGGCCAACATATACATCAAACCTTTAATCTTGACCTTCTTAGCACACACTCTTTGACTGAGATATCCTTGACAACAAAAAGTTTATGTCTGAATGTATTTCTACTAGAAAAAAGATACATCTTCTACTGTGTCTTTTCTTAATGATTAAAAAGAATTACCAAAACACACACCAAGTATTTTAAATATGAAAACTAGAAAAGGCAGCTAAAACTGTTGAAAGCAGTTGCCCATGGAACAAGACCGGAGGGAGGAATAATGGGCCAAAGGTATATTGTATTCAGTCCTATAAGCCTTTCAGTAGTTTTTTTTTTTTTATTTATGTATTTTATTTATTTTATTTTTGGCTTCATTGGGTCTTCGTTGCTGTGCGCGGGATTTCTCTAGCTGCAGCGAGCGGGGGCTACTCTTCATTGCGGTGTGCGGGCTTCTCACTGCGGTGGCTTCTCTTGTTGCGGAGCACGGGCTCTAGGCGCACGGGCCTCAGTAGTTGTGGCTCGCAGGCTCTAGAGCACAGGCCTAGATTTTTTTTTTAAAGCAATTTTATCATTAAAAAAATTATTTGTAAAAGGCACATGGTTTAAAAATCTACTGAAGGACTTCCCTGGTGGAGAAGTGGTTAAGAATCCGCCTGCCAATGCAGGGAACACGGGTTCAATCCCTGGTCGGGGAAGATCACACATGCTGGAGAGGACCTAATCCCGTGCACCACAACTACTGAGCCTGTGCGTGCTGCAGCTACTGATGCCCACACGCCTAGAGCCTGTGCTCTGCCACAAGAGAAGCCACTGCAATGAGAAGCCAGCGCACCACAGTGAAGAGTAGAGCCCACCACTCGCCACAACCAGAGAAAGCCCACACGCAGCAACGAAGACCCAACGCAGCCAAAGATAAATACATAAATAAATTTATTTTAAAAAAATCTAGGGACGCAACCTGATTGTCCACCAATTGAGGAACATGTCAATTTTACATATTAGAATAAAACGTGTGAACAACTGCAAAATACGTGAATTTGGAAAATATTTGACTTTTGCCATATATCTATATCTATATATCTGCCCTTGATTCTATTTACAAAAACATCTTAATTAATGGCTCTTCCCAATTTATTAAGAAGAATATACAATTTTTTAAACTTTTAAAATATTTAAAAAACTTTTTATGGATACACACATGTTTAAAAAGGCAAGAAAACACTATGAAAATGATACAAACCAACTTTAGAATACTGCAATTGAAAAAACTGGAAAAGATAGGAAGAAGAGACAAGAGAAGGAAGCATAAGGGATAAGAAATAGTTATTGGCTGTGTCTATAAGGATTTATTTTTTAATATCTGTTAAATCTAGGTGGGGAATGTTAAATCTCAGTGGTGGGTGTCATTATTTTCTGTACTTTTCAGTTATTTTGAAGTTATTTCACTTTTAAAAAAAATTTCTCCTTCCTCATTGTTGAAAGTGTCCTTGTTTATTTTAAGATTTTCCAACTAAATACACAGTATTCTCTGCTGCTCCTTTTTAGAGAACCGAGGAGAAACTTTAATCCCAGAATTGTAGTTATCATTATTAAATCCAATGTGCAAGAGCACACATAAAACAACAAGCAATATTAATAATCCGCCCACAAACCAGCCACACCGGTGATACATCAAATGTATATATATTAGCCTCATGCACCTCATACTCAAGCCCTTGAACCCTTTTATCTGCTTCCTTTTCCTTGAACTTTGAGAAGAAAATGAAGGTTAAACAAGTATATAAATATTCAAATGTCCAAAATCATGTCAACCTACATTTAAAAATATGGTCACTGTAAAACAAAGGTTGATTTGATTAAAGATTTGTAGTACTCACTGTAAATGAATCCCTGTTGGAGAGCAGTAGGACCAGGTGCTGTCCGTGCCTAAGTGAACAAAAAGAGAATCATAATGATAGAGTTGAAATTAGGCAGATAGTTTGGGCATTTTCAAATTAAAATGTCATCCAATTTAAATTTTTATATAATCTTCTTTGTGATTTTCCAGTAGCTCATTCTCAGAAAAGCTGCAGGCTACTTAACAGACTGAAGCGAAGAATGAGTGACAGTGGGACCAAGAACACTTACATTTACAGTTTAAAGGAAGAGGTTTGTCTTTCTCCATTTGTGTAGGTTATATAAATTTCTTCAACTTTTAAAAAACCTACAATTAAAGGTGTGCTAAACACTGTCCATAACTCTAAATTTCATCTAAATTTTCAGCTCTATTTCTATTTTTTAAATTTAATTTTATTTTTTTATACAGCAGGTTATTAGTTATCAATTTTATACGTATTAGTGTATATATGTCAATCCCAATCTCCTAATTCATCCCACCAGCACCTCTCCACCACCCCTGCTCTCCCCTGTTGGTATCCATATGTTTGTTCTCTACATCTGTGTCTCTAATTCTGCCTTGCAAACCAGTTCATCTGTACCATTTTTCGAGATTCCACATATATGCGTTAACATACGATATTTGTTCTTCTCTTTCTGACTTACTTCACTCTGTATGACAGTCTCTAGGTCCATCCATGTATCTACAAATGACCCAATTTCATTCTTTTTTATGGCTGAGTAATATTCCATTGTATGTATGTACCACATCTTTATCCATTTGTCTGTTGATGCTCATTTAGGTTGTTTTCATGACCTGGCTATTGTAAATAGTGCTGCAATGAACATTGGGGTGCATGTGTCTTTTTGAATTATGGTTTTCTCTGGATACATCCTCAAG